CCCCTCCTTCTTCAATAATTGTTCTTTTCTGAGGACCCTCAAGGTCACCTGCTCCTGTGGTAGGCCAGTGGCGATTCTCGGAACTGCCTAGAGCCTCTCTGGCTGCAGATTCAAGGCCGGTTCTTTCACGAGCTGTCTCAGTGGTAAGGCTTTACTCATCTGCTGTGCCTATTTTCCCATCTGCTTCTAACTCAGTTGGCAAAAATCAGTGTTATCTGTGGACCCAGGAAGCCCACAGAGAGATCCTCCCCAGACAGGACTCCAGCATTGAGGCTTTGGGTATTTTAGTCCCAGTCCTGCTCTGTAGGTATGGAGCTGAATGGTCAAATAGCCTAGACAGATGAGCTGTGTCCAGAGGTGATGGGGGACGTGTCCAGTGGGCAGGTGACAGACAGCTGCTCTTGCGTTTCTTCCCTATGCAGTGAGTGATTCTGGCTTGGAGGAGCATGGCTGTGCTGAGCTAAATTAAAACTGGAGGTGCCCTGAGCTTTGTTTTTTTTAAGGCCATGGTATTCCAGGTTAAAGATAGGAGTGTGTGTCTAAAATGAAATGTCCCTCTGTTCGGAGTGTGCTGCCGATGCCTCGCTGGGGCCTGCCATTCTGGAGGAGACAGAGCCTGTTCTAGTCCTGGGTCCTGCTCTGGCATGCACCCTGTCTTTGTGCTGAGTTCTGCTGGTTTTGATTTTCTGCAAGTACATTCTGTACCTGGATTTTTTTCAGGAAACACTTTTTTTTTTAAAATAATATAACATGTGAGGCAATTTAGGACCTCACACTCTGACCTCTGTGACTTGGCGTGTCAAGGTGTGAACAAGTGATGGTTTTGAGATGTGTATATTTGCAGCAAACCTGCTTTAAGAAAACTTACTACCTGAGTGACTGATCTAACAGACCCACACTTACTACATGATGATGGCCCTGCTAAACCTGGAGTGATTCTCCACTCCCTTGAAGGGGAAGTAGGAAGTTATGAAACTGTCAAACTCTTGGGGGTGGGGAGAAATAACAAGTGGTCCACATGGGTCAATCACCTGTAATCCATGAATGAATCCAACTTGGGAAGATCAAGTACTCACCTGTATAGACAGGTATGCACTGCCTCAGTTTTCTTTCCTCTTGCTGCAGAAAGATAGTCCATGAATATTCACCAGAAAGTGATTGTTGACTCTGTGATGGGAAATTAGGATTGGAGGGGCAGGAAGCCTGAGCACTCCAACTGTAGACACCAGTCAGAATTCTGCTTCTGTTTGCTGGAGATCTCTCCATAAGCATAAGGCCAGGTTTCATCTGATGCTGCCAACACTGCGTGAAGGGCACACTTCACTGTCACCAGGTGCCGACCTGCAGTGTGGTGAGGCATCAGAGCCATCCCATGGAGGGACCATAGGGGCACCTAGGGTCTGGGGGGCAAAGTGTACCCACTTTTAAAGGGGGTGGCTCATGGAACAGGGAGAGGCCATTTTTCTAAGGAATCCTACAATTCAACACCCTAAGCCTGTAACTCTGCTTAGGGTGTTGGTCTATTCCTGGACAGATGCCAGGATCCCTGTTTCTGCAGGGGTGCTTGCAAGTACCTGGAGTCCAGACAAGGATCCCTTGGCCTGGTCGGGGCAGCCTTGTTCATGGGAATTTCTCCTCAATGGTAGGAGGGTCCTACAGGGAATATGGCATGGACAATGGTAAATTCAGGGAGTTAGAGCTCCAGAAATTCAAGGCCTACAACTGCAGTTGGGGAGGCACATACTGGATCTTAGCAGGGTCCTGGAAGCCTGGGCTTTTTAGTCAGACATGCCTGGCTGAGCCCTGGCTCTGCCACTCAGCAATTGTGTGACCTTAAGTAGGACCCTTAACCTCTCCAGGCCTCAGGTGACTCTTGTAAAGGGCATGGTTGCTCATCGTGCACACCTTACCAGGTGGATTGGAGGCCTGGATGAGGTGATAGCACACCTCCTGCCACTCCAGCTTTCATTCTGCTGGTGGATAGGCCGTGTGGCCCCATGACCTTGTGTTGGTGGCCCCCGCTGTGTCTGCTGACTCTGACTCAATTCTCAGGCTCTGCTCAATTGTCTCCCCATGCCACAGGGAAAATAGCTTATGGTCGTCCCTGTCTCCAACAGATGAGATGGGGCATTCGAAGCACTTGTTGTAGTCCCTGTGGCATAATGTGCTCACTGCACATGTGAGCCCTGCTGTCCTGCACAGTGGCGCTGGACCCCTGTGTAGCAGGGTGGACTTGGAGCTGGCCCTCCCGATTCACACCCTGGCACCAGCACTTCCAGGCTGCATGACCTTGAGCAGATGATTTCTCACCAGCTCTATTTTCTCACCTGTAAAATGAGACAGTCACAGGGTTTTGGGGGGTTAAATGAGTGAATTCATGCCAGGTGCCCAGAACCCACACCCAGCACAGAGTAAGTACTGTGCATGGGGTAGCTATAATTGGCTTCCCTAGCACAATGCATGACACATGATGGGTCTTAATATATCTATATGAATAATAAGGGCAGCAGAGTGTGGGATTATAGTGAGAGCCGAGCTGAAATATCAGACTGTGGAGTCATCTTCCTTTTCTTCCCAAAACCCTCTCAAGTTTCCTTGAAGTGCTGATAACTTATAGTGGCCAAAGCTGAACAGTGCCTGCTAAAAAAGGTCTCCCTGAGTAGAGGACAGAGGAAGGACTGCTTCCTGCCCTCCCAGGCTCTGATCCTCAAGCTTCTGTCTCTTAGAGACCTAGAGACAGGGCAACGCTGTGTAGAGTGAGGACGGCTTTCCTGGGATCAAGCAGGGTACATCTCCTCTTCCCCTTCGTCTGGTCTTGTCTGTGTTTCATGCTCAGGCAGCTAATTTGTATTTCACAGATTCTTTTTCCTTTGGCTACTGTTAAGGCAGATGGGAAAGGAGGTTTTAATGAATTAATGTTTTCTTTTGGAGATTAAGCTTTCATTATAAATATAACTGCTGACACACAGCCTTCTGGTACTTACATATCATTTGCCAGTTAGGATAATGGACTGAGAAAGTCCCTTGGAAAGTGACATGGCCAAAGTTAAGCCTGTAACTCAGCTTAGGGTGCTGGTGAGTGAAGTGCTTTGCCAACTGGAAGCAACATATATTAAGTCTGCCCACAATATGCCTGTGCTTAGAGGTCTGAAAATATTCATGACCTTTGAGAAAGGGAGATTAAAATTAGTAGGCAGAAATGCTGCAGCCAGCTCTAGTTAGTTTGTGATGTGGTCATTCCAGAGTGTCTGCCATGCTGGCCACATGCTTCTGGGACGGCTGCAGGGCAGAAGGCTGCCTGCTTAATTTTAGAGTTAAACAAACGTAACGGTGAAAGCATTTATGATGGATCTGAATCTGGCAAGGCATGTTGTGATATTTCCATCATGATGTTTAGGGATCTGGATCTTCTGGACACTTTCTCTTTCCTTGTGTTGTTCTCTACAGGGTTTCTCCACCTTGACACTACTGACATTTGGGGCCAACACTTCTTCGTTAGCAGGGGTTGTTCTGTGAATTGTAGGATTCTTGGTGGCATCCCTGGCCTTTACCCACTAGATGCCAGTTGCAGTACCCCTAATTGTGATGGCAAAAGATACTCGTAGATATTGTCAGATGTCCCTTTTGAGGCAAACGTGGTCACAGTTGAGAATTACTGCTCTAGAGCTGGCCCTGAGATTGTCACAAAGGGACTAACAAACTGTCCATAACCCCCACCAGTACAGGGTATCGAGCTACACAAAGGTTATCAGTAATTCATTTCCCCAGGAAACATTATCCTGGAGTCCCAGTTGTGTGCCCAACTAGACCTGGAGAATACGAAGGGGAGTGAAATGAGCCTGGTTCTCTAAGCAGGTTAAGGAAATGGGTATTTTGATTGGGGCCAGAAGGCTTCCTCTTAAGTCATACTAACTGATCCTACTGCTGGGTCGATACTCAGAAAACCCTGTGTTCTGATGGTATCCTATGTGAAGGCAGGGAGCTAGTTAATCCACTTGGATCTAGAGGGGACTACAGATATATCAGTCTTAGGAGAGGACTTGGATAGTAAGTGGCTTGATTAAAACTTGGAAGATTTATTTAAGTAACAGGGAGTGGCTGAGGGAGCCACTGGAGAAAAGACACATAGATGAGCATGAGCAGGAGTGAATTTGCTAACAAAGCAAATCCAACCTACTTGGAAGGATCAAGGAAGGAAAAAACACTGGTGTGGGCGTAGGGGAGTGAGAAATATCAGGCCAAGTGAGGAAGACCTGGATTTTCTAAGCCATCTCCTGGGGAACATGCTATCTGTCTTACAGATTCATTGTTATGGTCAAGATAAAATCGGTGTAAGTATTGGGCTTCCCAAATGGAAGTCATTATTAAGGTCATCGTGTAGACAGTTTTCACAAGCAGACACTGTGAATAGAAAATAATCACTGAAATCAGATTTTGAGCAGGGGAGAATATTCTGGAAATGGCATATAGAATTAATTGGATGGGAAGGAGCCAAGAGGAAGGAGTGGTATAGCTGACCAATACCCATCCCCACCCCACCCCAGCACTAGAGGGGGAGCTGGTGGTGGAGAGGGCTCCAGGGTTACACTTGAGAAACATGGTTGGAGGAAGCCAAGATTGGCCCTGATTCCGTGATTAACTGACTGCAGTGAGATTCTTCCTGCCCCCTAACATGCTGGGAAGTGATGTGTGGTATTAAAAAAACACAAAACAGCATATTATACTGACAAGTATAGATCATGGCAAATTTCAAGGAACAAAGAAATCAGTGTTCCTAGGCATCTGGGTGAGTTGGTTACTGCAGTTCCTATCATGCTTGTTTTGAAAACCTAGAGTTTTTACTGTGAACTTACAGATCCAAATGCATTTGATGGGTTTCAGTCGGTTGCACTTAATGAACTTGAAGTTTGACTTGTCCCATTTTTGGCCACTGGAACCCAAGGAGGCTTCTGAATCATTGGTGTTCTCTTTAGTTTCCTCTCTGAGTGCTAGAGCAAGATGTTTCAGTTCATCTTATGCATTACCTGCCCCAGGTCTGGAATCAACTATTTCTTGAGGAAGCCCAGTTTGTTGCTGTTGCTAGCAGAAAATATTTCGAAATTGCAATTTGAGTGCTGCAGATATTTACTGCTACTGGATTGTCATAGTTTCTGAGCCTCCTTAGTGGGAGAAGCTGGAAGATATGTGTTGTATATATATGTATTTATTTACCTAGGATAAAGTAGCTCATGAAAATATAATGATACTTCAAATTCCAGTTCTGTGCCACAAGGTTTTTATATAATATCTTCTATATTACATCCTCATCTTATTTCTCTACCCTTATGTGTCCAGGTTATCAAGAACACAAGAGTGGATAGAATTAGAATATCCCATATTTACCCACTTGAATTTATATCACTCACACAGTAGTATCAGAATAACAATACTACCAACAGCAATATAACTACTGAGAATGTTTTTTTTTTTTTTTTTTTTTTTTTTTTTTCCTTTTTTATTTTAAAAATATTTTTATACATTTTTTTATTTTATTAACACTTTTAATTTTATTACATAATGGTTACTTTCTTTTTCTCTTTTT